AGAACATTCCAGTGTTTCTGTTGATGGTGGAGGCCTCTGAGTTTTCCACCAGAAACTGTCCTTGAGCTGTCCAGAGCACTGAAGGAACGTGAATGAGGGCGGGTCATTGAAGTAGGAAAAAAGGTCAATTAATTGCCCACATTAATAAATATATAATTTTAATTTTTTTTACATTGTCAAGTAATGCATCATACCATACAGTAGCCCTAGGACTTGATAAAAATTCATTGCTCTGCAGTGATTTGAGGCTGCATTAAAAACATTTTTTCTTCATTTTTCCAGCACATGCTCAGCATGAGGTCTGCTTTCTCTGTATTTCCGCTAACATTTACAAGCAAACCAAAGGTGTTAAGGACTCTTTGCAGAATCAGCCCCTAACCCATTTAAGGTCTAATTTGGGATATACTGTTTATGTTCATCATCATATCCCAGGCATGATAATCCCTGTATGCATGATTAAACTGCATTTGGATTTTGGCACAGAAATTGAGCTTGCATGGACTGCAAAAGCCAACAACAGCCACCTTGAAGTATTTATGTTTGCTGAAAGTCTTCATCTGTTACTACACTGTATCCTGCCTCAGTGTTCATACGCACATTTTAGTAAGTGGGCTGTGATGTGATGTATGTGGCAAAGAAAACTCTGAAAGGTGAATATTTAAACAAATCAAAAATACAAATATATACTCAAAAATAAACATAAAACATGAAAGCCTGAACTGTTGATACACGGCTTTCATGTGGTTTATGCCAAATTCTGACCCCTAGCAATGTCGCAGCAATGATCAGTCCAGGTAAGACTGGGTTATTTTAAAGATATTTTATGCAGAAAAAATCAACACATTAATCGATGATGAAACTGATCAGTTGCAACCCAGCTGTGAAAATAAAATAGCCAGTAAAAACACCAGAATAACGACCAAAAAAAAAAGTCTAATCAGTAATTGTTGACATACTCAGGTTTCAAATTTATATTAATAATTATTCAGTTAAATAATGATAATAACCGTACTGCAATGTTTCACACCATTCTGTATGTCTTTTAAACAGACACTAACTCTCACTTTGTATATAATCTGCATGCAATTGCAAGCATGTATTCAAAGACATTTAAAAGCCAGGCTTGAAGTTCCAAAGACAGTTTAGGAGAGAGCGACTTACTGGCTGCTCCTATGCCGATGAGAACGGAGGTCAAGTAAAAAGACCATGTCGAGGGGACGATGAACATCGCAATGTAACCACTAGAGAAAAACATAATGATGATGAACGTGTCTCAGCATCTTTGTTCGTTTCCTTTATGCAAACAGCACGTCAGTATTTACCTGTACAGCAGGCCGCTCAGAAACATGGTAAATTTTGGTCCAATAACTGTAACAATCATTGGTGCAAGCAGATTGGAGAACGAGAAGACTCCATAGATGATTCCAAGGCTGTAAAGTGGGGGCAGTAAGTAGCAGTAAGTAAATAAATGCAAGTTGGTGAACTGAACACCAGTATTTTCCCCCCTGTTTCTCCACCATGACCTACCTGTGGTACCCACTTCCAGTGAAAGTAGAATTTCCCAGGCTTTTCACTACAGTTTGCTGCAAATAGGAAAAGAATAAAAGTCTATGTGAACCACAGGGTTAGAATTTACATATTAAGTCACAGTAATGTCCTTAAGTCATTCATAAGATTTGATTAGTTCAGTGATCACTGAAGAAAATTAGAAACACGAGATGCGCCTCACATAGTCCTTTGGCTGCCCTGTTTCATACATCCCATGAGGCGGTTAATTTTTTTTCTTTAGAAATTACTTTAAAAGCTGTTATGACAAGTAAAAAAACGTTGTTGTATACGAGCAACATAAATGAACCTCCTGTCTCTTAAATACAAATCTCAACTCAATGCGCTGTCCTCTAACATTCTGGGGCAAAGTAAAAATGAAATGTAATTAAAAAAGCAAAGTTTACGAAGTTACCTCAACATTTCCACAGGTGGTGAAGGCGGTGAAAATAAACAAAAATCCCACACCCAAAATCACAACGTTGAAAGTCCTTCTGTCTGCCATGGCGTCTTCTTAATCGCGTTAAATCAGACACATTTTGAATTCACTGCAGACTCGCGATTCAGTAGCGTCGCTAAGTTTGTACTATAAGCCTAAAGCCTCCCATGTGCACTCGCGTGGATCCATTTCAGCAGCTGCGAAAATAAAGTTCACTTCACAAACTTGTAAAGTTCGCGTTTAGTGAGCGAACAGCGGCCGGAGATGAGCGGTGTGGCGTATATGCAGACAGTTAAAGGAGCAGCACTGTCACGAGAACACGTCTCTCCTATTACCCAAAGTACGCATGACAACTTGTGACTTAAATTAAAAGTTGCTGGGGATTTTTTCTTTTTTCTTTTTTTTTTTTGAGATCTTCCTTTTACTGTGACCTCTTCGTCATGGCTTTCGTCACTCTCCTTTTCGCCTTCAGTTTCTTCTTCTTGTGCAATTTGCGGACATTTACACGCATTTTATCTTTGCTGCCTTCCAGAGGTGACCAGGAGAAACATTCCCCGTGGGAAATAGATGACTTTTTATTGCGCTATTACGCAATAGGAAAAAGTTTATGGAGTACATGTCCCTTCCACGCATAAGGACGTTGGAGTGGAAAAGAGAGATTAGTTCGCATTGCATCCTTATTACCCCTAAATATCTAATTTTTGACTGATCAACACAATGTTTTTGCTATTGTATTATAATTATTGTATTAAATCTAAAAGACAAAAAATCCACACAAAAACCAAAACACATGATCAAACAAAGTAATCCAATACTGTGCAAAAGTCTTGCACCATTCATTTCTTCCTTTTTTGCTAGGAAAATGGATAAGGGGTGGTTTATGGAAACATTCTGCTGACATACAGGGAAATACACTATATGAGGGAAAAAGAGAGTTCACACAATTCTAAGGAGCTTAAAAATCAATATTTGGTATGACCACCTTTATTCTTCAAAACAATCTGAGCTTTCTTCGGCAACTTTCTTGTTCCTTTAAGACGTCCTTAGGAATAGTTCTCCAGGCTTTCTGGATAACATTCAATGCTCTTCTTTAATAAAGTTCGGGGATTTTTCTTCCGGTCTCTTTACAGATGATCTCACACTACTTCAATAATGTTTAGGTCCGATCTCTGGGGAGAGCAATCTACGACCGATTGTCTTCAAATGTGTGTTTTTCTATCCAGGTATGCTTTTACTGCATTGCTGTTGTATTGGGGATTATCATCATGAGGAAAAATGAAGCCCCTGCTAATCATCTACTCTCGAGATGGCATTGCATTGTGAATAAAATCCCAACAGTATTTCTCTGCCTTCATAAATCCATCAGTTTTGACAAGATTCCCAATATAACAGAGCCTGTAGATTTTCTTTATGCTTGCCACTTCTACTGTCCAATCCATTTTTTTAATGACACACTGCACAGTATGCTGAGATATGCCACGTTTTCAGCTAATAGCTTTTTGGGAATCACTTTGTTGGTGCAAAAATACTATCTTATGCCTGTCAAACTGTATTTTCTTTAGCATTTTTCATACATTCAACTAAAGAAATAGGAACAAGTGATATTTTTGCAACAGGCTTTAGTGAAAAGAAGTGCCTAACTATACAATTTGCTTACAAGTTTTCTCTTATATGTAGACACAACACTGGTTCATCTGTTGAGGTGCTCTGTGTTATTGAATGATGGAATGATTCATGGGTCAGTGTTGAGTGCTTCAGCAAACAAACAAACAATTCCTCTGAAAATCAGATACAAGGTCTGGACTATAAATGTGCGAGAAAGCAGACAATGTCCAAAGAAATACTTTGAAAGACCTTCAGAAGGCCTGGTAGAACTATTGCCACTTTAAAAAAAATTACAAGCAAGTCTGGCTCCGTGGAAACAAAATATAAAGAAATAGCAAGTGACTTTTGCACAGTACTGCAATCAGGGACCAAAGCAGCACATAAAAGAGAGAAATTACTTTCCACAATGTGTAAGAGACTGTAGAATAACCACAGCCGCAGTTTTAAAAAGGTAGAAAGTTCATTAAGTCTACAGAAACTGTTAAAGTCAGATTATTCATTGTGGACTAATTATCCAGCATCCGTGACACTATTTCAGCATGAAACCAGTAACTCATATCTATGTATATATGTATATATATATTACACTGTAGGTTAATGTCTCAAAAATATTTTCATAAGTAAGATATGCATGTTGGTACGTGTTACCATAATATAAAAACATTATCTTAAAAAATATTACGATCCTGTCCAACGCCATCAGTTGTAAAATGAGTTCATGAACGCCATCTGTTTGGGGTTTTTTTTTTTTCTTTTAATTTTTACTTTTCCATAACTGAAAATCTTGTGTAAAAGAGTTGGCGAGGTAAAGTCATTTTAAATTTCGAACCTTTACACCTTTTAAGGAAAGACTTAACCAATAGCCATTGATTAAAGTGCCACCTCCCGGTGTCTCCCTTGCTTTCACAACAACAAAGAAACGAAGCCAAGCGAGAGTATTACGTCTCTTCACTTCCGTGTTCGTTATCTTGGCCGTATGTACATTGGACTGTTCGTGCTTGAAAAAGTGTTTTGTTGCCTTTATGTTTAGCCATAATGTATCGACAGTAGCGTTAGCTAACCTGTAACAGTTTTTACAAAAACAAGAAAAAGTTATCTTCAGTTGTTTCAGCGAGCGCATGCGCATTTCCATTATCCCTGTTTGCCCACGAGCTAACTGAAACTATTAACGTTTAAACTTTGTTTGGTTGCGTATAGCTATATTAATAATGCGTTTTCAAAATAAATGATTAAATTGATTCTGTTTCTACGTTGTCACGCGCGAGTGTGGACAGAAGAACAATTTTAGCTGTTGTTTCCTGAATACTGGAGCCATCCTGCTTCCTGTAGTATCTTTGCCACAACCTACAACGGATTGTACACAATCATCATGGCGACGCAGGATGGTGGGTATTGAGAAAATTCAGCAGTATTTCAATAATATCTTTAAATTGAGCTCATATAATGTTAATGAAATTACACGTACCTTTAAATATACTGTAAATATACTGAACTAATAATGGACATTTTCGTCTTTCCGCAGGGTAATTTTTTAACGTTCACTAGTGTTGCGGCTAGCTAATGTTAACGGTTGCTAACTACCATTTACATTTAGCTGGATGTGTGAAGCACTGCGGTTAACGTGATGTCATTTAACAAATGTTTTTTGTTTTATCAAGTTAACTTAAGCTGTTAAAGACTTAACTGTATAGGATTAAGTGTTGTAGCGATCAAACACTAACATACAGCCTATTTACTTTACTAGTTTTGCAGTAAGGCCATTCTTGTTATGAGATGTGTTGTTTTGCGAGTGCTTATTGTTGTTTAAAAACGTTTTTCTGTTTTCTTTTGGCGGCTATTCGCTTTTATGTATCCCATTTCTCAGCACACATCGAAAGACTACCTACTAGAAGCGGTGGAAAGACCTAGAAAAACCACGAGGGGGAAAGTGGTTAGCAGATAAGACTAAATTAGACTTCGTTACATCTTTGTTATTAACTCATAATAGCTCCATACATAACTGCTTATTGTGTGAAACTATCGGGAACTGCACGAAAGTGAGATTCTTATTATATATATATATA